TTGTGTAGTATGCGGTTCTATATCAATTTGTTAAAGCAACTCTTTCTTCAATTCACTTTAATCTTTACAATAAAGACATGCAAATAAATCAACAATCAAAACAATCTTTCTCATAAAAAATCTTTCCAAAGAACCAATTCTCACGAACCTTTAACAAGATTGAATCTCGAGTTCCAGTGCAAATCTTTGTTGCCTACTGCGGCGTGAGGGTTGAAACAAAAGATCCCCTAAACGTCCTCTTAATGAGGGCTTGAAAATCCGTAAACATCCCTCGGCGGCGTAGCGTTGACGGGCGGTTCTTAGGAACGCGCTGTTATGTGAAAAGAAATGGCGATGTTAATTTGCAAGAGGATTTTAGCGTATTACGCTGTTTTCGGCAACTACGTGTTTAGGGTATTGTGATTAATAAAGGATTTAGAACAGATTAGTTACATGACGTAACATTGTGTTTGTGCTTCCCTCAAAATTTAAAGGATAAGTATGGTTAAGATATACCTTTCCAAGTAAGAAGGAATGAGACATATTTGCTTGTATGATATGCAATGTTACTATTAAAACTTTTCCCGTAAAACTCATATAACTTGACTTTGAAATCTGACTTAATAACATCAAAAACAAAACACAATTTTATACGCAAAATAAACTACGAAACGCAAATATAAAAAGGCTACCTCAAGGACTCACAAAACACATTACTCGGTTAATTCAATTTGTTCGCAGACCTGCGAAGATCAAGGCCTAAGAATACAAAAGGGTCAGGACATAAAACAATATATTATTTTATCCTGATATTATCGATGATAGTACATTCCTTCTACAATCGCCATCGAATTCGACCCGAGGGGTAAGAAAAAGAATTTTTCGCATCGTACAAAAGGGAATGATAAATTAAATTTTATACGCGGAATTGCCAAAAATTTCCTCGTTCGGCGGCGAGAATTTATCGAACGCCTTGGAATACGTTTGTATGGTACGAATTAACAAAATGGTGGAAATTGAAAATGCTTTTTGCAAATCCAATGTGTTATCGGTGAAGAGAAGTAAATGTATTGGAATAATTAATTTGTTAATAGGTTATTTACTTTAAAAAGACATCAAGTCACGTACATTCCTCTTCAATTGTCAAATTATTTCTCAAATTCATGAAACGTTTACAAATGTCATTATATACTGAACTAGTTTTCTACAGTTCATTAACTTTGGAACCAACGTCCTTAGGACATTGTAGAAAATTCGGCCACATCACGTAAGATAATCAAGTTACTTTGTGCACAGCTAATTAACCGTGAACTGGGATAGAAATGGTTATTAGACCACATCAAACCTTAAATATATGAACGTTATAGGAACAGACCTAAAAATAAAATGTTATCCCAACAGGTTCAAGTAGAAGAAAAACCATAATTATCCTAAGTATACGTTGCATAGTCCATAAATTAAGCTTAATAGTTGATAAAATCTATAACCCTCGATGTTGCATTAAACAAAACCAAAATGTCCATCTATAAGATAGCGAATGACTTATAGATGGACAGCAAAGACTTTAGCAGTGGGATCCCATGAGACGCTCTTTGGGTATTCAGCCCCAAAAAGGTTGATACATGAATGAAATTATACTGAGTTGAATGGTCCTTACCCATTTTCTTATAGAATGCATAATATAGTTTGGTTTTCTCCTTGTTATCCCTTTGGGAATTAAAACAAGCTAAGCTCTATCTCTCCAGGATGGAATTTACGAGGTAAGTACAAAGTTTCATGACGTTCATCTGAAAATTCTTGAAGCATTCCAATGATGCAATATTGAGAGCCTCCAAGGTTCAAAGCCTTCATATTGTTACAGAGACACGATATATAATATATGTTTTAAGCTCGACGGCCGCGGTGACGTAGAATGTGATCCTATAGAGCCTCCGTAATACGCTGATGAAATATGGCCTCGAGTTAGATACGTTATCAAAATTGTATGATATTAATTTTCAATTTTATCGACGCGAATTTTGGGGTGATTTTGATTGGATGTGTAAGTGATGAAAATGGTGAAATAATAGAGAGAGAGTAAGATTTAAAGCACATTTTAACTACTAAAGAAATATTTTTTATTTTTTTTTCGTTAAAGCCATGATCGTCCCACTGCAAGGCAAAGGCCTCTCTACCCTCCTAATAAAAATAAAGAAACAGGTGCCAGTATTTTACTTTTTTAGTTTTAACGCTTTAAAGTGCAGGATAAAAAGGCGCCCAAATTTTCTTTCAAAAGAAAATTATTTCAAAAGCTCCCCATGAAATATTAACATTGTGGGTCACGCGTAAACTTAATCTGTAAAGGAAGATCACAGAGGAGATCTCATAAAATATTAATGGAGTCTAGAGGTAACAGGATTTATAGACCAGGGTAAATTTAGGCATTAACAAATCTGACCTAGATTATAATAGAAGGTGATTTTTTTAAAGGATTTTTTTATTCTCAATTAAAGTAACTTTTATTTATGTTAAGTTTAAGTAAAAGATATTAGAAACAATAATACAAAAGGAGAAATACATTTTATAAAATTAATTAAGAAATAATATCTTTTTTATTCAATTCTACATCTGTCAATGTTAACACCTGGTTTTCTCTTTCAAAATTACATTCCGACTTTACCAAGTGATGGTAAGTAAAACACGAGTGAGGTTTTAGAATAGAATGTACACAACTATTAAGTACATACATTAATAACAAAGTAAATTATTGGCACACTAATGAAAGCATTATATTTGTTGTAAAATTAATCCGGCAACCTACACCCAAAACATTACGAATTCGTTCAATTAAAATTAAAATATATCAAAATGCAAATAGAATTTTGTTTATCTATAACACTAGGTAATCTATGTAGTATAATTTAAATTGACCCAGTTCGACATACCCGAATATCAGCAAATATTTTATACCACTGACAAATATATTTAAGAAATAATTGTACCTATATACCTACCAAAATAATAAAGTAATAGATCAAATCAACTAAAATTTACTTACGAAACACCATATCGTATTAACTGCTTACCTGTAAAAGAGAAAATACTTATTAATATTTATGTCACACGTAAAGCAGAACATAGAACAGAACTTGATACTGATAATATTAAAATTAGAAATGATATGGAAGACCAAGAAACTAAAGACAATGAAATTGTTTTTAAGATTAGGGCTCTAGGTGACAAAGCCGTTTCTTTTTTTTTTTAAGGGGGGAAAATTATCGAATGACTGCTCCCGCCTGGGTGAGGCGGAAGGGAGTGTCAGACTCTTACTGACTAAAAACCACTCCGTTCCTTCTCCTGCACGTCGAGCCGGAGCCCCGGTTACCCGTTAGGTTCTCCGCGACTCCGGATCGGCATCGGCCCTATTGGGCCCCATCTGTGGTGGTCTGATGGCTCTTTGAGGCGCGCGCGGAACGCTACGCGCCGTACGCTCGGGTCTGTTTCTGGTTGGACGGGTAGCCACCCATGCTCGCCGTCCGCAGTCCCGCGCTTACGGTGGCCGGAGATCGTCCCGCGATCCCCGACGCCCGGTGTGTCCTTCGCGATGGCTGGGTTGCGAGGAGGCAGCGCTTCGCTGCCTCACGCGTCCCGCCTCCTCCTTAGCTAGCATGACTGCTTCGCAAAAGGAGGAGACGGCATCCCAGTCCCGTGTTGTGACAGTGACAAAGCCGTAACTGTAACTAATGATATGTTAGATGATCCAGCTATGAACTAAACTGATGTCAAGACCGAAATAGGTGACATCATAATATTAGACAAGATTTTTGTTATAGAAACAAATCCAATAGATTAGTATGACAATCGAATCCCGAAACAATCAGAAAATTATTTTCAAACAGCCCAATAGTTCGAAGTCATTTAGAATATAAAGGCCCATATTAACCTGTCACCTTTCAGTCTTCTAAGTTTTTCGAGAACTTCTGTAATGGTTCACTATTTGAATATCGATAGTATTTTTGATACATGTGTAGAAATAATAAAATCTGAGATCGTGTGTAATATTTTTAGAAAACCTTTGGTTGTTACGTCAATTTTAAGGTATTAATTCACTTTAATTTAAATAATATTCTTAATTTTGGCCATTTTGTTTGTTCATCATCGTCATCATCATCAAATGAATTATTTCTTTATTTCTTTCTAACTAAGATATCGCACATAAATATTAATGTGTGAACTTATAAAATACGGCAAGTGGGTTATTCTCTTCATTATTTTAAAGAAATATAAATATAAATTAAGTCAGCTGCTTAACGAAAATGAAGTAGTAGTGCTAAGAAGTTGAATTTTAACATTTCAATATAAATACCGCGACGTATTCAGTGAGCATACAATTTTCCAGTGTTTATTAAATTTCACGTTGTTACTCTGTGTCTAACCACAACCCAGGCGCGTTTGCCGCCTGTCAGCCATTAATTAATTCTGTTATCCGCGAACGTCCCAGCTTTCTCTTCGTTTAGTGCAAGCATTTTAGATTCACAGTTACCTTTTATGAACTATTTATGATATTCAAGCTCATTATGCATTTACTGAGCTTTTAAAATCATGTTAACATCTTGTCTACCTTTACAAATTAATTTTATACCACTGAATCCTTTGAGGATTTTTATAAGACGAGACGATGCATTGATACGACCATCTGTTTGTGTCTGCTGACTGCACAATTTGTATCAGTTAGACAATGGTGCAACAGTCGCACAATTGATATTGTCATTGTATAATGTAACCGGGTTTCTTTTCATAACATTGTTTAAGTACTTCCGCTTTTAGTTTTGTCTTAGTCAAATCTAAATATTATGTTAGAATGAGAAACAATGTTTCGTGTTTTATAAACGAAGTTGTTTTAAGAAGCTTTGTCGATTTAATTTCATTAACGCCTTCGCTGTCAGTATCTATCAGTGCTTCGAACATTTTTATCTTAAGACAATGTTTTAAAATAATTGGAAAACTTCTTCTAAATTTCTTGCTCTTCCCAGAACTTTACCATGAAGCACTGGATAGGTATTTTTTGTTCAATTTATTTTGAGTGTAACAAAATTTGTTATTAAATGTGATTATTTTTGAAGTGTTTAAGTTAATTGAATTTTAACTAAGATTTTTTTAACACCTTTTATTAGAAAGCCAGTGTCAAAAATTAAAATGCCGTTATTGATTTTAGCGATGTGGCAGCTATTAGCCCTTAGTACTGTAGTATTATCAGCTCAGACGACTGATGGAAGATATGAGAATGTGAACGTGAGGCAGGATTGGTGGGAAACTGCAGTGCTATATCAGATATATCCAAGATCCTTCATGGATAGCGATGGAGATGGTGTGGGAGACCTAAATGGTAAGTGGCATTTATAGTAGCTCAACATTTGAATCGAAACGAAAGTACATCACAACCAAGTTCTTTTCAAAATTGTGCTCATGTTCATCTTTCGATTAAAATCCAATTTAATACAACGTCTTAGTTTCGGCAAACAAGGGTTTAGTCACAATTTGTTGCTAAACAAACACCAAATTGGGTCGGCCAACTGTGTCTCGTTATCACTTTACACCATCAAAGTCCATTAATCTACCTGACACTCTCAGCTCTTATCTAGACCAAGATTGAAGCACGCATACCGGTCAAGTGAAAATAGGGTTCAGATTAAATTATCACTCCTTCTTTACGTACGGACTAAGTAGGGATTTTTTGTGTAAATGTCTCACTTTTGTAGGCAAAAAGGTTCAAGGTCAGAGAGTAGGGCTAGGGACCAACTGAATAGAACTGTGACTAGATAATCCTATATTTAATTACCCATTTCTTGTTGATATGCATATAGAGGGTATATTCTATGTCGGTTAATTTTAATTTTGAGGTTTCAGTAGGACTTTTGTATATTGTAATATTTTTGCGAAGCTACACAAATGTGTTTCCAGGAATAACATCAAGACTAGAGTATCTCAAGGAGTTAGGGGTCGACGCCGCATTGCTGTCACCAATTTTCAAATCTCCAATGCACGACTTTGGTTACGACGTATCAGATTATTATTCTATCCAACCTGAGTATGGAACCATGGAGGATTTCGAACAACTTCTCAAAAAAGCAGGAGAACTAAGTAAGTCTAAAAATCTATGCATAACCGACAAACGAATTATAGAAAATTTCGTAACCGAAATTCGATAGCACGGCGTATCGGTTATTTGAACTTTCTTAATAAGATTTCCCTTTAAAATTTACATTCGAAAGGGCCTGCCTGTTTGTATAATAATTTGAACAATTTATTCTGGTGTTGTTTTTCCTCGATTGTAATCATTTCTGATTGGATGGTTCGAGTAGCATGGGAGTGGTTATAACAATAGTAGTTTGAGGCTGTTATGTACTGTTGATTTTTGTCTTAAGTGTCGATATTGAAATGGGTTCGCGGTGATCCAACCAATTCAAATGTTTTCTCAATAGGTACTCCAGATGATAAAGAAGAACGTTGAAATATAACAGAATTATTATTGAACAGTTGATAAATAAAACAAGATATTTTAGGCATTTGAGATGGAATATTCTATCGCGTTCTGAATATAAAGAGCTGTTGAATTAATTAATTAGTGATTCATGTTAGAGATACTTTACATTAATCATATTACTTTCTTACTTACACATGTTACTCTAGCTATTAATAGCTCCAATGTTGCGTTGTTAAATTAATCGTGTTTATCTTTCATGAAGGTTTGTGCTTATCTCATTACCAATTGGTTGTTACAGACATGAAAGTTATTCTAGACTTTGTACCGAACCACTCCAGTAATGAGAGCGACTGGTTTATTAAGTCGTCGAACAGAGACGAGTACTATAACGACTGGTATATTTGGGAGAATGGTCACTTGAATGACCGCGGTCAGAGGAGCCCGCCGAATAATTGGGTAAAAATTTGTTCTAGTTTCATAAACATTTTGGTCCTATTATATCAGTGATACCTGTGTATGAGCATTAAGCATTCACACTAGTCAGTGGTCAATCTAAATCATGGGATTCCATATTTCAGATCAGTTTATTCAGAAAAAGCGCTTGGACATACATGCCGTCTCGTGATCAATACTACTTCCATCAGTTCGGAAGCAGTCAGCCTGATTTTAACTTTAGAAACCCTGTCGTTGTTGAAGAGATGAAAGTAAGTTCCATCAAGATGACACACATTGTAAAAAATAATGATAGTTGTATTTAGTGCCAAAGAAAACTACTTACGACATTAAATTCACATTCAAAGATTTCCATAGCTAACCAAACAATAATAAGGTACTCAACAAAAGTTTGTTTTTAAAATCAATTCACAAATCAGACGTTGAACTTATTTATACACGTGAACCGTTCAGTTGAAAAGATTGGTTACTGTCTTCATTTGTTTTGTAAATTCTGAAGGCAACACTATAAACAAATAGTTACTACGTACATTATCTAAATAAAGAATCAGATTTGTAAATAACATTACTTATTTTGTGACTCGGCTACGTGTAATGAAGATTAATGTTCTCCTAGTTCATGGCCTTCGAATGTGAAAAAGCTTTGTACACTGAATAAATAATATGTTTATCTGATGAAATAAACAAGTTGCGAAATCTAAGATTAGCTTTTGGTTCTGTTTGTGGTCTGACACCGATGCTGTTTGAGTACATCATATTTTTCGATTAGCATTTCTGTTCTCAACAATATTTGAAGATTTATTTTATTTTATCAAGGTCAGCAAACAGCTAGCTTCGTCATTGGTAGCTGAAGCTAATAAATACTGAAATTATTTAGAACTCCTGCTGAGAGAAGGTTAAACATTCAGTTTTCACTTCAATGTATTTATGAGCAACATATCTATCTGACCTATCAAGATTTTTCAAGAGAATTACTAATTTCCAATATTATATCCTGTTACTTTCAGTAATCAAAATGTATTTTTTACAGAACATAGTAAAATTCTGGTTAGAAAAAGGAGTGGCTGGAATGAGAGTGAATTCTGTCAATCTTTTCTTTGAAGTTGACAAGGATGTATATGGTGGAAGGTATCCCAATGAACCAATGACTGGTAAACCGAATTTGGGTCCAGACGACTATGGGTTCTTAGACCATGTGTACACTAAGGATCAAGAAGAGACTTATGACATGGTGTCTCAACTACGAGATGTGTTCGATGCTATCGCTATAAGGGATAATTTGACAAGGTATAGAGAAAGAGTTTGTCGTCATAAATCTTTTTGAATAACAAAAGCCTTATTTTAGTGGTTGTTATTAAATATGAAATTCAATTAATTATATAGCATCTATAGTTAACAAACATTGGGTTTTAAAATATGATAATTAGGATAAAACAAGAATTAAACCTAAAACCCAAAAATATTAAGTAACTGCAATAGTTTAATTTAAAAAAACAACGGACAAGCAAAAGTATAAACATTCCCCCCAGAGAAATTCATCGTTGACGTGCAAATGAATATGGCTGTTAAAAAAATAACCAAAATAAGTAACTTTCATGAATATTAAAACGAAGAAGAATTCTCATGATGATCCAAATTTCAATTTCCACCGTGATGTAAACCACGTCGATTTACATTTTTTTCAATGACGTTCGCTGATTAAAACTGGAAAAATAACCTGAAAATTTTTATTTCGTGAATATGATAAACTAGGTATCTATAAATTAAATCTCTTTGAAATTCGTTGCCTAAAAGCTGTGTAGTAAAAATCATTTTGTTTGTTGGATTCGACGAAAATTTATGTTCGCGCTAATAAATTTATGGACGCACATTGCGTATACTGGACGACGTGTGCGCATCAATTGGGTGCGAAATTGTACAACAATAATTCTGTTCATAATTATACCAGCTTCAGTACCTACTGTTTATTTATTTTTATCGTTCTAACTGAAAAGTACGTTTGCATTGAACTGAAATATTTACCAGCCTTGAGTATGGGATTGTTTGCATTGAAAGAAACGAGTGCATGAATGAATTGTTTATTTTTCATTCTGAATAGACCAAGGCAATTTTCGTTTACGAATACCTACATCTAACAATTCTTCTTCCAGAGTAATGATGACAGAGGCTAGTACGAATATAAAAAATGCAGTGAAATACTACGGCGAAGGCATTCACACTGGTGCTCATATTCCATTCAATTTGGCTCTCATCGCGGATCTAGACAAAGACTCAGACGCTAGGGACATTAAGTACGCGGTTGATAGATGGCTCACGTACAAACCTTTGAAGAAACAAGCCAACTGGGTGGTACGTGCAACTTTTATGTCCTTCTTTTGTACTCGATCTTGGGACGTTGGGATAGAAATACTGTTCTTTATTTTCTTTCGTATAGGGTATACTTTAGTATGTTACATTTTAGACTATAATTGTGAGAAGGTAATTGTCTAATTTTAAGTGACTAAGGTCTAATGCTTTGCTCTGATAACTTTAAAGCCTTTCATTTGTAACTCTAACACCAAAAGTAATTTTAGTATCAGTAAATTATGTAGAAACATTCTAAAGTGGATCCTTTATAAGGCGTACTTACAAATTGACACATTTAACAACTTTGTTAACTTTATCAAACCGCCTCCGGCCCCCAGCGGTGTCTAATTTTCGTTCACATTTACCCGATGGGGAAAAGTTACAACAGCGAGCATTAATTGCTACATGTCAACAAATATAACAAGGTCAGCCAAATATACTCTTTCGATATACACAGTCTAACTGATATCTGGTAGCCTCAGGGAATCTGTGGATTTGGTTTCTTTAGCAAACACGGTGGGCGTGGCTATTTTGAAAAAGGTCTTCCTCTCTATTCTTGAAATATAATAAGATAATTATTATGATCGATGTTGTTGCGAATCGAGCGCCTCGGGAATCGAGTTGTGTGTCAAGTGATAATGTGTTTCTATAATGGGAAGGTCGCTAGTATTGAGGTATAATGTAAAATTGTAATAATGTTACGAATGATGAATGAGTTAGGAATATGAAAAATATTTTGAACTTATCCTTTGGATGGAAATGTGAAAACTGTTTTGAGAAATATCATGTATAATAAAACTAGGAAAGAATTAAGTATTTCTTTAGTTCAACGAATTGAATTTAGACTTGATCCTTTGAATGCTAGTATTATTAAGTTTTTCACATACGTTATTAACGTTCATTTTATTAATTAATACCATTACAATAATGTTTATTAATTCATATTTCAGACTGGAAATCACGACAAGAGCCGAGTAGCATCAAGGTTCAGGCCCGAACTAGTGGATGCTTTCAACATGCTCGTTCTATTACTACCTGGGATTGCTATCACCTACATGGTAACCGTTTACTTTAAAACCACGGCAATTAGCTGTTAAATATAGCCTTTGTACACATTAAGAAGATTCATTACACATACGAGGTACATTTCGTAAAACTAATGGAACAATTATAATGTAAATAAGTAATTACATATTCGCACTAAAGATTACCAAGGCCCTTGCTTTGTTTTAGTTATTTTATGATCTTTGAACCTTTTGTGTCCTAAATCATTTAGGATCAATATGGTTCCTACTTTAAAATCTATAAGCATATTGATATTTAAATATTGGCAAGCACTTTTAACTGCCACGTTACGTTGGTTAAAATTAAGATTACTGAGCAAGAGATTGTTTGGAATCCACACACATTAGTTACCTATTAGTTAGATTTTAGTGATCATAGGCTGTTATTACACTTAGACTGAAATTTTTACTGAAATATAATTTGTTCTGAATGTGATGGTCGTTTTGGGGAAGACTAGGTTATGCTGTGTATTTATACATTTATTTATTAATCTACATTTTGTAAACGCTTATGCAAATGACATATAAATATTGAAGGGCGAAGAAATAGGAATGGTAAATGGATTCGTGCCGTGGAGCGAGACGAAGGATCCTCAAGCCTGCAATACGGACGACCCCGTTAATTTCATCGAAGTGTCCCGCGACCCCGTCAGGACCCCGTTCCAGTGGAGCAGCGGAAAACACGCAGGTACCCAACCTTTTGAATACCTATTTCACATTTCCACATGAATAATGCCGAGGTCAACTGAGGACAAAAAAGGAAATGTACCTTAAATATTATATCAAAAGGTTTACTGATGTTCATCAACACTCCAAAGGTACCTATTCATTCCACCATTCACTAGCCTTTGTTGGTTTTAACTTAGCATTATGTTAAAGTCAAATGAGTCTAGATATTGAATATAAAGTTTTACTTTGAAGTCCATGATGGGATAAAAATTCAATCTAAAGTCTAAGCATGTTTTGAAAGACAAAACCAGATTATGTTTGACTTATCTTCTTACATGTAGAATTTTTAGGATTTACAAACATGATACCCTGAAGGTTATTCGGCAAAGTAAAATATAAGTCAGCTGGCTTATGTGTGTACATTATCCGCTTTCAAATTTAAATAACCCAACCCTTTTGAATTGACATTCTTGAGACCCTTTTTCTGAAAGGTATTTTAATAAAGAATTAAGTGACCTAATTGGCTCTATTTGGCAAAAACCGACAAAGCAGACCTGTCGGTTTTTATAGTAAGTGTGACAATCGGGTATAAGATCTCCTTGACTGAATATTGGTGTTACATTGTTCTCACATAATTGAACCAACGAAACAATGTAACCAAGAATTGTATTGTGAACCTAATTGTAAAGAAGTAACCTATGGAGTTTCTTGCTGATTCTTCTCCACAGGAATCTACACTTTGGAACAAGCAAATAGCTTCACTAGAGGACTGACCGACAGACTGTCATTATTTCTTCAATATTTAAATATTTCGTTTTGACGTTCAAAAGTGCCTTCTTGGTCTAATTGAAATAAATTATTTTGACTTTGATCATGATTGAGTTTGAACGCCAAGTATTGCTGCTGGATTTCGTAGTGGTAATTTGAACTTTGGTATTATTTGATGAAATAGACTAAAATTATGAAAACACTATATTTTTATTGATAACACTTTTTTTGTTTGTTTGTACTAGGATTTTCAGCTGCTGATACGACATGGTTGCCGGTAGCAGAAGGTTTTGAACAATTGAATGTAGCCGCTCAGAGATCTGCAGTACGTTCTCATTACCAAGTTTATCGAACTCTGACCAATTTGCGCATACGACCGGCATTTAGACTCGGCAGATTCGAGTCCTTGGCACTGAATAGCGACGTGTATGCTTTTAAAAGGTACATAGTTAATTTTAAATTAAATGTTTGAATTAAAACATTTTTTTTATTAATTTTCGTTCAATGCTTTGCAAAATGTATGTGTTAAAGCATGACATCGAATTTCATGAACTTTGTTAAACTGTTCAGAAAAGTATACGCTATGACTTTGAATGCTTGTTTCAAACTGAGCTTAACGTAGTTTTGAATAAAAATTCAATGAGTTTTAGCTTTAAACTTTATACAAACGTAAAATAAATTGTTCTTAAACATTTCTGTTTTTATTCTAGATGGTACAATGATGACACCTACATCGTTGTTATGAATGTTGGAAAAGTGTACCACGTGGTCAATCTGACTGCTTTTGACTTGATATTTGGCCAGTTAGAAGTTGAGGCTAGCAGTGTACTCTCTTCCAGAACCTATAGGTGAGTTTATAATTTCATACAGTTCCACAAATCGTTGATTACAAATAGTAATTATTATAAAGAACATTTCTATTATTTTTACGTATCTAGGGTAGATTCGTAAAAATAATAGAAATGTTCTATTGTAGTATAAACTACAATGCTAGGGATAAATCACGTATGTATGAAAAACGCTGATAAACCCAATGCAATGTACAGACACATAAATAACATGTAATATAGTACGTTCTCGGACAAAAATAACTGTCTTGTTAGAAAATACGTCGACTATAATACATTTTAGACGTGTCAGTATAGGATTCTTAACAAAAATGTATTGTACTTAAGTATATAATGATTTCTTTTCGTAAATATACTTCATTTTTAGTAATATTATTGATTTAGATAGCAATTGTATGAAGACGGCAGAGTAGAGTACATTTAATTTTGTCACCGTCGCTGAACTTCCCGTGTCTCATAAGATTCGACTGAGAGACTACATAATTTTGACAGAGCCCGGGCAGCAGCGTTTTCTAATAAAAATAATCCCTTTAAACTACTTTTAATCTCCAACAGAACTTTAAAGAATATGCCAGACCATTCTTTTATAGAAAAGATCTATACCCTTACAGTCTTGTTGATGATTATCTTTGTTCATTTACAGTGATAGCGTGCAAGCTAATTACTTGGATTTGGCAGCTGATGAAGCCCTGGTACTTAGAATGCAGGTTTGAGTGTATACAGTGTGAATTGTAGCTTAGAATAGATAGATATTTAACTAAATGTACCTATTGATTAATAATTATATGCTATTAAGTTACCTGATGGTTTTCTTTGTAATGGACGGAATGCAGTATAAATTAAAAAGCAAAATCTAGTTTCTCAATATTCGTTTCATATGTACCTTACACTTTAAACAACTTAAAATAAGGCAAACAGTTATACGCATGTGTATGTAGATTAAAAAAAAATCGTATTTAAACATCACTTTATCCCATTTGTTATGTCGCGGAGAACCTAACGGGTTACCGAGGCTCCGGCTCGACGTACAGGAGAAGGAACGGGGTGGTTATTAGGCAGTAAGAGTCTGACACTCCCCCCCGCCTCAACCAGGCGGGAGCAGTCATTGGATGATATTGCCCCCTTAAAAAAAATCTCATTTGTTATTATCAGACAATCACAATGGACAATGTCCTCTAAGTTAACGTGACGAAAACAAAAGAATAAGTTTTATTCACACCCGAGTAACAAACAACACTTATTCAATAAGCCAGTACGTGCCCATTGACCCAGTAAAATACTCAAGGGAACATCTTTTTCGACAAATAAATGTTCCCAACTATTTATTCTCATAGGCACTGAAGTTGGGAATCTACGTTTTATATTACAAAGAGACCAAGTGTTAGAATATTTCGATTGATGGGAGCACTCGTGTAGAAGAATAGCAATCACAGACGTCAAATCTAATAAATATTTGATTGGCAATCATTGTAGAAAGCAGCTATCTTGTAAGATGGTAGTCGGTATTTTGTCTCAATTGGATTCTTTCTAGACTATTTTCGAAAAATGATTTTGTCTCGAATACTACTATATATTATTTAATCTAATCTTTGTAAAGCAGTTGGTAATAGGTTCGTCTCGTCTCCAAAGTTAACAAGCCTAATAAACTAAAGTACTTTTGATATTTTTTAAATCCATATATTTTATGTTCAATTTTTTTTTTAATCTGCAAGACCTCATAGATGCAAAGGTATTCTTGTTTTATGTATTTCTACAACTTAATATTGACTGACTGGCTCACTGGCCCAGTGGTCGCAAGTGCGACTGCCGGGCAATGGATCTCGGATCCGATTACCGGGTCGGCCAAAATATTACTGGGTTAAAAAAATCTCAGTGATAACACGGGGTCTGGAATGTGCGCGGTATATGGCAATAGGATCACCCACTATTACATGGGACTCATTACATAAAAAGTGAAAAGTGTTACATTGTACAGTGGCATTAAATGTCGTAATGTGCACCTCTGTATACTCCTTCGGGGATAAAAGGCGTGATATTATGTCCTGTTATTATGTAACAATTAAAGACAACATCATTAACAATTTGTATGTTCCAAATTATACATATAGATGTACTCTCTCATGGTTAAGTCTTAACTAAAAAATTCCTCACGATAATCCAAACACAATTTATTTATAATCTAATTTTCCGTCTTCACGAATCTCGAGCGTGACATTGGATTTACAGTGAGATTAATGTCATATAGAATCTAGAGCATCTATGCTTATCATATTCTTGTTGATAACTGAGACCTACAGGAGCGTGCGTCTAGCGTGATTATTATCAAGATGAGCACTTTGATCGCCTCCACTAGATTTTGGGTCTGCTCTTGAAAATTATCTCGATTTGACCATAAATAGATTTGTTTTCCAAAATATTGATAAGTCCGTATCTGCAGTCGAAATGTTATTGAAGTAAAAGTGAGTTTTGTTTGTCAATGTGATCATACGTGTATGAATTAGATTTGTTAGTTCGATGTTCATTGATTTTAAATGTGACTTCTGATTATGGGACTATGGCTTATTCTAGAATTTTATTGATTCTGTGCTTAATGATGGCATGCAAGCAGCTGATATGCATACGACTCGGTTGTCATAGTAGATACAAACTTTCCTTATCATTTGATACAAGTTCTCAATAGATACATTGATGTATTATGACTCCTAACTAATTGAATCATCAACATCAACAGCCTATACGTGGCCACTGCTGAACAACTGCCTCTGCTCGCACGGAGAAACTTGAGCATTAATTTCACCACGCTTACTTAATGTGAGTTGACGATTTAAATGTGTAATTAGAAATTATAAGCCCAGGATTCCTCACGATGTTTTCCTTCACCGTTTGTCAGTGTTCATATAACTCGGAAGAAAGCCACATTGGTACTTGCCTGAAGCATGAGAAAAAGGCGTCTTTAACCTTCGGGCCACAAAGGCAATACACTTCTAGAGCCCCTCCTCTTAAATTCTTTGGTAGAATACCTCATTAAAATATTATCATTTGTTATTATTACAATTTTAAATTCATTCTGAAGTTTCTTCACTTTCCTAACCATTACATAAATGAGAAATAGGGAGATGAGTGTTTAACTGTCTTACTAAAATCAACAAAAATATTTTGTTCAAAATTCTCTGAAGTATTATTATCACGTTGCATAACCGATACAAGATTACTTAAGATATAATCTTTACTAAACATGTTTGTCAGTTTAATCTCAAAAAGTACCAATTTTATCAGCCCCTCTGTGTGTTATTTCGATAATAGATAAAGAATACTCTATAAAATCTATATATTACCTAAGTTCGTCGACAGATTTTCCATTATATTTGTTTATTATCCATTAAAATGAAGGCAGTTATATTTCTGCCGCTTTTCTTGATTCTGTGTAGTGGAAATGTAGTAAGACATGAAGAGAATGACCAGGACTGGTGGGAGACTACGATCTTCTATCAGATCTACCCTCGCTCTTTCCTTGATAGCGATGGAGATGGAATCGGAGACTTGAATGGTAAGTAATCCCTTTCAATTTTGAGTGGCAACTATTTTTATTTCTTGCAGAAAATGGAAAAAGTTCCCTTTTTTATTTTTGGTGATATAATGAAATATTTGTAAATAAAATACACTTTTAGTAAAGTTAATTCATTGCTTTAGACGGTAACTATAATTGCATGAATCTGTGTATTAATTCTATGTTAATAATAACACAAACTGGTCCCATTTCCCGAGTCAATCATATAGTTTACATTTCACTACTGAAAACTAGAATTCAGAACTTTGACAAATTGCTCACACGGGAAATATCACGTAATTATGTTTACAACAGGGTCGATTATCATTTGGAATTTGTATTTTATCTCGTTTCGCTGTCTGGCAGGTATAACATCAAAATTGGAATACATCAAGAGCTTAGGTGTTGGAGCTATTTGGATGTCTCCTATGTTCCAATCACCTATGTATGACTTCGGGTACGATATCGCTGATTTTTACGCCATCCACGACGAGTATGGAACAATGGAAGATTTTGACGCTTTAATGGAGAAAGCCAACGAACTCGGTAAGTACCAAACTATTCTGATTAAATTTCTAAATTAATTCTTTAGTGAAAACGAAAAAGAAGAAAATCTTCTCGTAATTACAAAGAAAAGTTTATAAGAAACAAAAAAAGTAAAATAATAGTTGAAATTAGCACCTAACTTTGAAGAATAAGTCTGAATAGAATCTTGACGAAGTTACAAGTGTCTGTATTCAAGTCGTTGTAATAAAGATTGTGAAAGTTTGCTGTAAAAATATTCTGAAAAGTTTTTAACTAGTCTACAGAAAAGAACGAAATTTTATTCTGAATCTATTTACAGATATTAAGGTAGTTTTGGATTTGGTGCCAAATCACACATCGAATGAGAGCGTCTGGTTCGAAGAAGCTCTGAATGGCAATGAAAAGTATTACAATTACTTCGTCTGGGAGGATGGAGTGATCGATGAGGACGGTAACAGGCACCCGCCGAATAATTGGGTAAGAGTTTTAGCACAATGAAACGCGGTAAGATTACTTCTCTGTGGACTTAATGATTGTAATGAGGAAAGTTTATTGAGTGCTCTTTTATTGCGAATTGTTCTTCCATGGTTTGTATTTAATATACCGTTTTGAGTGAGGGTTGAGTGGCGTTTCTGGGTTATTATTTTGAAAGTACACATCATTATTTAAATTATTAATACTCGTGTTGGTATATCGGATTTTTGTATTACGGGGAGTTGGATTTCACTTCGATAAAGTGTAGTATAATTCTGTTATAGCTCTATCTTACAAACAATTAAAAACTTTATCAACCGTTCTATATTCTACCATATTCTCTTATATAAAAATATTATTTTATTGTTTCTAGTTGAGCCATTTCCGTGGAAGTGCCTGGGAATACAGAGAAGAAGTTGGTCAATATTATTTGCATCAGTTTGCTGTTGGCCAGCCAGACTTGAACTACCGTAATCCCGAAGTTGTTGAAGAAATGAAGGTAACAATAACGCTGAAGAATAAACATTAAAATCTTTCTACAAACAAACAAAAACTTTCTCATTACTTGTTTCTTTCCAGAATATCATTCGTTTCTGGCTAGGTAAAGGTGTAGCAGGTTTCAGAGTAGACGCAGTCAACTGTCTTTATGAGGCAGATAAAGAACTTTTCGGAGGCAAATACCCAGACGAGCCACTTTCTGGAAACATTAACGCTGACCCCGAGTCCCATGACTACTTAAGCCATATTTACACCAAAGATCGTGAAGAAACGTACTACATGGTGTACGAATGGAGAGATGTCTTTGATGAGTTCAAAGAAAAAGATGGCCTTACTAGAGTCATGATGACTGAAGTATACGCTACAATCCAAGACGTAGTAAGATACTTCGGTGAAGGAGATAAGGAAGGAGCCCAAATGCCTTTTAACTTCGACCTTATTACCGACGTTGACGCCTCATCTTCCGCCGCCGACATAAAATACACTATCGACAAATTCTTAACTTACAAACCTGTTGATAAAGGCGCTAATTGGGTGGTAAGTATTTAGTAAAATTTACTCGAATACAGAGGAAGAAATAAGATTAAATAGAAAGCAATCTTTCGCAGGTTGGTAACCATGACAACAGCCGAATGGCAACTAGATACGGCCCGCCTTTGGTCGACGGAATCAATATGATTGTATTGTTGCTTCCTGGAGTAGGAGTGACTTATATGGTAAGTATTATTTAGAATACATATATTTTTTGTTACTTTACAAATATGTCGTATTGAATTGAAACTTGAATTACTAAGAACGTAATGTAATAAAATCAAAAGAAATAGTACTTGAGAACTGTAAACAAAAGTGTTTAAAACATACTTACAGTTATTTTTTACGTGTACTCAAACTAAAATGTAAATCTCAGGGCGAAGAACTCGGCTTAGTAGACGGCTACGTCAGTTGGGAAGATACAGTCGATCCATCCGGATGTAACACAAATGATCCAATCAATTATGTGTTGTCATCCCGTGATCCTGAACGTACCCCATTCCAGTGGAACGCTGATAAAAACGCTGGTAAGTTTGTATAAATGCAATCAACACGAGATTGGAAAAACAGGGAGATGTTGAGATCACTTGTCATTCTACACCGGTGCTGAGTTCAATCAAGGTTATTGTTGGCTGGCGATAGACTGCTTTTGATCATGCTGAACCGTGATGTAATCACGGTCGGACGGAGACATGCTTTATTTTCTTGGAATAAACGATTGGTGTTTAATACGTCTTGTGCTAAATAGATAGGTGTTAGTTAGTTCGTTCTACTAAACTTAAGAAAAAATGTAGCCATAATCCTTAAAATTAAAAAAAAAATATTCGAAACAATCAAATTATTAATAAGTATTTTGCTAAAATTCAAATAACATCTTCCTTTATGTAATTCGAATTTAAATTTACCTTAAGTATAAAAATTAAAATATCTGTGTTCATTCATGTGTTGTTTTTTTTGTATAGGATTCTCCACGGCTGATAGAACCTGGCTGCCAGTAGCAGATGGCTATGAAACGTTAAACGTAGAAGCCCAGATAGCAGCTGAAAGATCACATTTGAAGGTCTACCAGGCATTGGCGAGTCTTCGTCAAGAGAAAGTCTTCAGATATGGACGTTATGACTCTTTGGCTATGAACCACGACGTTTTTGTCTTTAGAAGGTATGTGTGACCTTGTTCTTGATATTTTTGTGAATCATATTATTTATTGGTATATAGTTAGTACATATTTTTATCGGTGATATGATTATTATAATATTTTTAACTTTATAAAGGTATTCATCGCCCGGTACCCGTATTAGTAAAAGGCTTTAATTAAAGGTTATAAAAAATTCACACATTTCTAACTGGACAAAGCACGGTAAATGATAGTAAAAAAATATTTTTTAAGCAAAAAATCTCGTCTACATACAAAATGAGGAAATGTCTATTCCAGATATAAAGTAAATGATCTTAATTGGATTAATTCTTGGTAATAATTTGATATACAAACAAAGTCTGTAGCAAATATTTGATTTCGTAATGGCAGTCTAATATTAACAAGCCGGATAAAATTATTGGCCCGTTCCGTGGAGCTCATAATTGAACTGATTTGATTGAAACCTTCAAGGCTTCACAATATTCGGGTGGAAGAATTTTCTTAAGAGTAAATTGATTAATTACTATGTTCAAATAATATAGCAGGAGATTTATTTAATGTGATACTGTATTGATGTCTTCTTGTCTTATTTGTTGTGTCTATTTTATCTGGCAAACTTTGTTGAATCGTATAGAATTACAAAGCAAAATAAGTTTGTTGCTTGTTAGCGTTTCAGTGTGCAAGATTTTCGAGCATCGTTTACGTTATTTATTATTTGCTTTACTTCAAAACAATTCTCATAGAATCATCAGTGTTGTGTTTTGCGATAGTGAACTGTAAAGATTTATTAGGGATTTTGTGCAACTTAAGCCTAAATAATTTTTAAACAGCAGTGGTTCTCGACATTTTACTAAGCAATTGTTTTGGTTTCAGATGGTATCATGGAGAAACTTATTTAGTTGTAGTGAACATGCGTGATAATGAACATGTAATCGACCTAACATACTTTGAAAATGTTGCTGGTGACGTCAGCGTTGTGTTGAGAAGCATCGATTCTCCTAAGAATGAAGGGTAAGTTAACCTCTTTTTTGAACATGAATTGTAAAAAGTGGGAGATGTAGGGCTATAAGCATTTTTTCAAACGAGATTATCACTATTCTCTAGAGTAAAAGGGACTCCTTCTCCACATATAGAAACCTAACCTAAAACTGTTTGTTAACTAATATAGGATAGTTTACGTTGAAATTATTGATAAGCAACAATTTAATCAAAAAATACCCATAAGAAAGACAATAACTACATACTTGATAAACGATATAACTGTTCTATTTTGTATTATTTATAACTTTTATTTTCTGTTTACAGTGACGTATACGATGCTTCGTCCCTCCCAGTCGTCGGATTTGAAGGACTTGTACTGAAACTGAACTAAATATTAAATTATAATAAAATACTTTTTGTTCCTACTAAAATACTGTTTAGTTCAATAAATTGCAATTAAAATGAAACTTGTTTTATTTTGAAACGATTGTAGTAGCTAAATACCTACGCTATGAGTAATTGAGATATTTGAAAAAAGACGAGTAAATTCAGATGCACTTTATAATATTAATTGGTGACAATTTTATGCCTTTGAATGACTATAAAAGCTACTGCTTACCTATTGAAAATAAATATATCAGAGAAAACATGACAGAAAAATTATGTGTGATAATAGTTTCATTCCAATAAATAGGAAATGGAAATTATATAAATACTGTTAAGAATCTTGGTGGCAAAAACAATAATGACTCAAACTATTGCGATAAATCCAAACTATAGCAGCAAACTTTTACCGATTCTTCTAATAAATTGCTAACTATTTCGAACTAGACACCCTGAAGTCTTACATTCATGCACGAACCTATACATATTTGGAGCCATAAAGAAAACATCATAAGGTCTTATTAAATACTGTCATGGTTGATATTTAATTTATATCAACAGTCGTATAAGTGCCCAATGCTGAACAAATAATTAATCACCAAGCTTGTTCATTGTGGGTTGGCGATTTCAAACTTATGAAATTATAAGTCCAGGTTTCCTCACGATGTTTTCTTTTACCGTCTGTCAGAGGTGTCTAAATAAGCTTAGTACATTTAATTCAGTAAAAGTCATATTGGTACTTGCTGCTGGTAGGTTTTGAACCAACACCCTCATGCATGCTAAGAAGAGATATTTTATTTACCAACTTGGAAAATAGTATGTCCTCGCAAAATCTTTATCGACTTTTTTAGAAAACCCGGAGACCCGTTCTAAGATCCGATTGTAATCACAGGGATTTTCAGGAAAATAAAAAATATACTTCCCAGCTTTTCTAAGGGATAGTATTCTTTGAAGATTTCCAATCCAAACTCAAAATTATAAAAAAGAGAAATACTGAGCAACATAGGATTTTTATCGAAACTTCTAATCTATTTCATCTTAACAACAGAGATGAGTGTTCATTATCAGAAGATATAAAACACATGGAAAACTAGGAGAAGGTATTATGGTCCAGATAAAACCTAAGTGGTTGTTGGTTATCGATATTTTTGTTTATCGTTTATCTCGAATATGAGATATGTTTAACTATAAAGGCGGATGCCGGGAAAATTCTGTACCTAGTAGCTGTTTTACTGGGGTGAGTAGCGTTATTGTTTTTTATTTAACGTGCATTTCAAAAAGTACATTATTTTATATCAACTTCTAAATTAGAAATACAATGATGTAATACGTTAACAGGTTTATTATATTCAATTGAAAAGCGATTTAGTTAATTGTTTTAGTTTCTTGTTTTAGTGACTTAACGATTATTCATTCACTGTCCTAATTTCGTAAAATAAAGACAAGTTGTCACTATCTCAGGGTAAGAACCATCAGAAATATTGTTGCATATTCATAACTGAAGATAACACTCATACTTTTACTAATGCATAAAGAAAAACGCGAATACTTTCAATCTTCTTGTAGCATATCACTTTACATACATAGGTACTCCTATCGGTTCGTCGGCGTTCATAAATCTTTGTGATACACAGAGCCGAGTGCTTCGCATCTGACCTTTTTGAAGGACATCATACAATATGCGTACCTATTTTTGGAAAGGGACTAGTTTCCGATATTTCTATTTTTCTTTGAACAAGAAATTAAAGAAGTTTTCCATATCACTTGTGAGTTCCGTTTCGGAAATTATTATTGATCGTAGCTTTAAGGTTCATTTTAGAACTTGTGACAAAATTATTTTTTTTTTACTTTCCTTAATTTTACAGTGACAAAATGAGGAGTCTTCTACTTCTGCCAGTGCTGTTTGCACTAGCATTCAGCCACTCTCATGACAAAAATCTGGACTGGTGGGAAACTACCATCTTTTACCAGATCTATCCAAGGTCATTCAAGGACAGTGACGGTGATGGCATTGGAGACTTGAATGGTAAGATACTTGATTAAAAACTTTTTTGTTCTGTATAGACACATTCCAGAATTATTGTCGAGACAAGGTATATCCATAACATATATCATTTTTTGTTTAGGTATCACATCAAGCCTAGAATATTTGAAGGAGCTTGGCGTTGGAGCCACTTGGCTTTCACCTATTTTCAAGTCTCCTATGTATGATTTCGGCTACGACATCGCCGACTTCTATGCCATTCAAGAAGAATACGGTACTATGGAAGATTTTGAAAATCTCATGGCTAAAGCTAAGGAATTAGGTAAGTGAAAGTTAACTGAAAACGATTATTATCAATATTTGTTTTGAGCAGAAATTGAATCATAATCAGTAATTACAATCACTGCGTTAATCATACAATTGATCGTAGTTCTGCTGTTTTACTACATTACCTCTATAAAACAGAATTATCAAGTAGACATTTCCCAGAACTAATTGAAAATGAATGAATTAACAAAACGAGTTAAAAGCAAGTTTAATTAAAAAGCATTCGATGCTGTTAGCAACGAAGTATTCGCGTGAAAAATCTAAATAGAAACAAGATAAAAACAATACTGACTACTGATCATTAGAGGTATTTAAGAATTAAACCGATGTTTATGTTCCGACGACGTTGATAGAGTCGACAGACAACAGTGATTTGATTACTTTGCTCAAGTATTTGTTCATCATCTCAAAGACAAACCGACAAGAAATACAAACAATATCGTTTACTGTTCTAGATATTAAAATAGTTCTGGATTTTGTACCTAACCACACGAGTAATGAAAGTGTGTGGTTTGAGGAGGCGCTGCGAGGTCACGAGAAATATTACGATTACTTTATCTGGGAGGATGGAGTTGTGGACGAAAATGGGGTTATGCATCCGCCCAATAATTGGGTAAGTAATAAAATATCTGTTTTGGTTTTGAGCAATCAAAATTGCATACCAATAAATATGATGTGATTTTAAATGCCCATTTCTTATTTGAACTAGATGTATGTATGTATTTCCAAAGTAAGAATGATCTATTATTTCTCAGGTAAGCGTTTTCCGCAAGAGTGCTTGGGAATACAGAGAAGAAGTAGGTAAATACTACTTCCACCAATTTGTAATTGGTCAACCAGATCTGAACTACCGTAACCCAGCCATCGTTGAAGAAATGAAGAACATTATTCGCTTTTGGCTCGACAAAGGCGTTGCTGGTTTCAGGGTTGATGCTATTGCACATCTTTTCGAAGTTGACAAGGCTGATTTTGGAGGAAAGTTACCTGATGAGCCATTGTCTGGCAGAACCGATGACCCTGACAGCTATGACTACTTGACTCACATTTACACCACTGACCTTGATGAAACATTAGACATGGTTTACCAATGGAGGGAAGTTTTCGATGAATACAAAGAAAAAGATGGTTTAACTAGGGTTATGATGACCGAAGCGTACTCTAGCCCTCAGATGACTATGAGGTACTTCGGCGAAGGTGAACGCAAGGGAGCACAGATGCCTTTCAACTTTGTTCTGATTTCTGACGTTAATGGAGAGTCAAGTGCTGCCGAAATTAAATATGCACTTGATAAGTTCCTTACATTCAAACCTATTGACGAACACGCTAATTGGGTGGTAAGACTTTTTCCCCTCTTGATAAAGTTTTCATGAGAATTGTTTTGTGTACATACATTTAATTAGTTTGACTTTGTTTTTTTTCTAGGCCGGAAATCACGATAACAACCGTGTGGCTTCAAGGTTCAGTCCAGAGTTGGTTGATGGCATCAATATGATCATTATGTTGATGCCCGGTATTGCCGTTACTTACATGGTAAGAAAAAATAGATTTTGTTTTATTACGCGATTTTACTACCTAATAGTGGATCACTATACTTTATGATTTCTTGTCTATCAGGGTGAAGAAATCGGTATGGTTGACGGTTACGTCAGCTGGGAAGACACCGTTGACCCGAGCGGTTGTAACACAGATGACCCAATCAACTACTGGATGGCTTCTAGAGATCCTGAGCGTACACCGTTCCAATGGAATGCTGAGAAGAATGCCGGTAGATACATACAATACACTCATGTATTTTTGCACAATGACTTGCAAATGTCTACTATGACATAGCGTCCATTCATTCACTTACATAACTCAAAATGTAACTGCCTGATACAGATATTTAAAGAATTTCTGAGAATAGTTAAAAAAATGATAATTTACAGGATTCTCCACCGCCGATAAGACTTGGCTGCCAGTAGCTGCTGGTTACGAAAACTTGAATGTGGAAGTCCAGCGCGAGTCAGAAAACACTCACTTGAACGTTTACAAATTCTTGGCTGACCTCCGCACTGACAAGGTTTTCAGATACGGTAGATACGAGTCCGTTGCTTTCAATGAAGGAGTTTTTGCTTTCAGAAGGTAAGCTTCAATATTCCATTTTGTTTTTTGATGCCACGGAAAAGTTATCTTTATTTTGTCGAAACAAAGTTGATTTTCTTTCGACTTTTCACTGTTGGATCAGTGTAGATTGCAATTTTTTATATATACCTCTACAATGTATTTCAAAATATCCGAATGACAGATTTGCGGTGCTTTTTGTATTACGTAAGTAAAAATACTATACCTTGCAGACAACGATACATTTATTTGAATATACATGAGTAAGTAAGTAATGATTTGCATTCACTGAGCAGGTTATCACGTGCTCAGTGAATGCAAGTCATTGAAGGAAATTCTTCTATGATCATACTCGGCAATAGTCATCATATTTTTATCTTTGTTATCATTCCAGACTGACTGTAGAAAAACCATTGTAGGCAAACAATATAACTAACACTTGAGATAGTAAATCTTGATCAACGTCTATTATCTTGACTTTTTTTCACAATAAACTATTGAACGGTTTTTGATCAGATAGACATAGAACCCAACCTAGGTGTATATATATGTGAGCTACATATGCTATTGCTTTTTCTAGTAATTCACATAAAACCACAAGCTAAATTGAACATTATTAAATTGTGTTTAAGTTCCTATTCAACTAGTGATAAAGGAATAAGAATTTCGTAACTTTTATCGCAGATTCAGTGTCCAGTTGTCACACACGCATTGACTGACTGACTCAATGAAATCTGTTTTTTTCAATTCGATTACCTTCGGTAAGAAGACTAAATCAAAGAGCAAACTCACTTTGAAACAGATTTAAAATAGAAAATCTCTGCTATTGAAGTTTATAGATTGTGACAAGCTTATAACCTTTGCAGACCTGCTTGTCACAGGCACAGGAAATAAGGAATGTCCTAATACGGAAATCGAAGATACAGCGTTGAAACATTGGTTTAATATTTAGGTCACACCGCCAACGATAAATAAATAATATATAGGTCGACGCAGTATTACTGCTATCGATTGTTGATATTCAGTAAAATATTTATACGTTCTTCTATAGTATTTATATTATTAAATTAAAAATCAACAATACGCTGAAACTTCATCTGATTTTGGCGTTTGCTATTTGTATTGTACAATTTTGAAACGAATGAAATCTGTACAGTTTATTGAAATACATGATAATGGATAATTAACGGTTTATTTAGTACCTGGTTGATCAGCTGTAGGACTGTGCGTGTGTATGATGTGCAGTACAAAAAAAGATATTCTTATTTAGACTTCTTTTTATTTTTCTTTTTTAAAACGTTACCCCACATTTTGATCCTACTACACACGACATAGACCGGAAAAATCCTAGTGTGTATTAAAGTTTTCTTTATAGAAACATTAATATTTTCATTTTTATAAACAAATATTTATAAATACTATACAACATCGCGTACCTTTAAGGCTTTGAATGGAAAAACACACATTTAAGAATTGACTAGATAATTAAATACCAATATTGATAAACAACATAATAAAGACTGGGCTTCAGAAATGTCAAAAGCAATTATTAGAACGACATTGATACCTTAATAATAACATTCTGTTTGAGACAAAACCAATATCAAATTACTAATTAGTCTTTATTATGATACTAAGTGGTAATTAGCCAGATTAGTATATTATTTTACTTAGTAAATATCAATATTTTACTGAGTTATAACATAAAAAAAACTGTTTTGTTTTCAGATGGTACCAAAGAAAAGCTTACATCGTAGTCGTCAACTTCAGAAATGAACCCTACACCATTGACCTAACATACTTCGAGGGCGTCAACAGATCAGTCAAGGTCGTTGTCAGCAGCATTCAATCTCCCAAAACTTCCAGGTGAGAATTGACTATACAGAACTTTAATAACCACATAATAAAGTCCATTTTACAGATCCTTATCGTGTAACAAGGATAATGTTATAATCAAAGTGTGCCCGAGGCCTCAGATAGTTGAGAGTTCTCGAACTACTCGTATGAAACTTTGGGCATAACGCCAGTTAGTGAAAGGTCAAGAGACCCAATATCACTGGAGAATTTGGAACGAAACCGTGGATTCTGATTATCATACGATAAACTGACAAAACTTTTATTGTGGGTTCATTGTGTTCAATACTACGTAACATTGTAATGATGCCTGTTTTTCCTCGAGGGAAGCTTTTCAATTCCAGTTATGTGATTAGTTTCGTCTAATAAGGGACGAGCTCATTACTGAGCCTATTTCAAAGGCATTAGCATTATTATGATAGAATTGGCGAATGGTTTAAAATATAGCTTGGAATCGGGGAGCTGAAATTGTAACAATACTGCTTAGATACTGTCAGTCCTATGCTTGTCAGTTACTGTAATTGGACTTGTGACTGTTTAAAAATATAAAATAAATAAATCAGAACTGAACTCAAATCAATTTCAAATAGTAATACTAGAAGGTAACCTTCAATGTAAACTCTGATAATGCGTAGTTGAGCACTTAGAAGCATTTGATAAATTCGGAGACACAAGTATCATAAATGTATAATCTCGATAAAATTAGACTAAAGTACAATAGATTTATATTACTCAATTAATGAAAATAATAACTTTAATGCAAACAAACAAAACTTCTTGTTGTTATAAAAATTCTAGTAAAGCCAATGAAATTGGACAATCGATGTTTTATAGGGTGTGACGTCGATGAGGTGAACCTATTTTCTAAAGATTAACATTAATAAAAATTACGCTTAGAGAACTGTAAAAAACAGTAATTTATTGAAACAAAGTGAGCACAATATATTTACAAAATCTATTTTAAGGAAGTTATTGAAAAACTTTTAGCAGAATTGAGATTTTTATTGTTACTGCTTAAACTCGTTAAAAGTGTTATTACGTTTTTAATTTGGAAAATTTTATTTGTAGACTGGTACTTGGGACCGTAAGCAGTTTATAGGCGAAAGATTTTTGTTAAATTGTATTTATTTTGGGACAATGTTTGTGCAGTTATTCGTCTAGGAACAAGTCGTATCGAGCTTTATGGCAAATACAAAGACTTGCATACAGATTCTATTTTATTGTAAACAAGCTTTTACCCGCAGCTTCGCTCGCGTCACAAAAGAATAAAAAGTAGCCTATGTGACATATACCAATACAACAGTGCCATCTATACCAATTCTTTTGTTTTCCCTCGGGAATATAATTTTTTTCCGGGATAAAAAGTACCCTATTATTTAATCCGGACTTCTAACTTTACGTCTGCAAAATTTTAAAGCAATCGGTTTAGTAGTTACGGCGTAAAACCGGAACAAATAAACAAACAAACAAACTCAGTTTCCGATTTATAATATTTATTAGTAAGGATACATTGTTACTCGTTTATTACCAAACAATATCATTACATAGCAAGCAATCTGGATTCCACGTCAATATTGTGAATTTCGCTATCGAAATATGTAACAATACTTCGAACAAATCAAAGCGGAGATGATAATGTTAAATAGTAGGTACTTGTAGATACAGTATCAGATCTTTCAAACTGATGGAGGCTGTCATGTCATTATTATCTTAATTAAATGTACTTAGTCAATCGTGTTTCTCGATATTCTTGACAGTGTAGATACTGCGTCAATATCTACAGTACTGGAAGTAAAGTCGTAATAATTATATTTCTAGTCACTGCGTCATTCATAATAACCGTATCTGCTGTATGATAAAGGCAACAGAGTACCTAAATAAATTGTCATCCACAAATCCCTGCTTATCCCGCGGGTTTTCTAAAAACTGTTGGGGACTACATCACAAATAGACATTTAACAGAGAGCTGTTGCGTTCTTTGTTAATTCTGAATTAGATACACTATACAGTCAACATAATTAAAAACAATTAAAGTTGCAATTTTATTAAAAATCATTGTATTTCATGGACTATTTAATGACAATATCTTTAAAGCAATTAGTTGTAAGTAGATAATTAACATCCTAGGGTTGTGTTTCTTTAAGCCAATGACACACTAGGGGGCAAAATTTCCTGCGACAAGTGTGGCAGGCAACGTTGTGTGGAGTAGCGCGACGTTGCCAGACTTCGGTTGATATGTCTGGCAACATTGACATCGCTGTGGACTTAAGGTGCGCGTTGTCGCCTTATAATATATCAGGCGAAATCGGCAAGCTTCGTTTGACATATCGGCGATACAATATGGCGTGGGGGATTTGTCCCTTAGTGTATCCTTGGCATTATTCTTGTTATAACTTGTGTGACAATAGAACGTGTTTAACACTATATCAGAAAAAACTTAAAAAAATATCTCCATTAAATACTTTATTGTTTATTGAATGTCGCACTAAATGAATACTCAAACTCAAGTTTGTATTGTTCCAGGGATGTGCTTAGCGCAAACAAAGTGGAGATCGTCGGAAACGAATCTTTGGTGCTCAAAGTTGTTTAACTATGTACCTACTATCAACTTGAGTGAAACTATTGGATAACAACTGCTGTGTACATTTATTTATTTAAAATAATCTTCTAGATTGGACGAGATTTCTGCCAACAGAACTAGGTTATACAACTGTAACAACCTTATGAATGTTATTAAAAGTTTTCCAATGTGTGCTTAAGTGGTGTTCATTGAAATATACATTATCTTCAGACTTTATGTTTCCTTTTTCTGTAGGAGTACTGGTGTTATATTCGTGACGTGTTTAAAAAATATATGCGTAAAGTAATAAGAAACATATTGATGAGATATAACACTTAAACGTGTCATTGGGCTACGATTATAAGTATCGAATAAAGGAGGTGTGTGTTACAATTTTAATCCAGCAGAGACTTTTGTTTTTCTAAGGGGGGGGGGGGATCGTTTAATGTCTTCTCCCGCTTTGAGTTAGGCAAGAGGGAGTGTCAGACACTTACTAAATAAAAACCACCCTGTTCCTACTCTTGCTCTTCGAGCCGGAGCTCCGACAACCCGTAAGGCCTTCCACGGTTCCGTATGGGGCCCCATTATGTGGTGGTCTGGTGGCTCTTTGAGGCGCGCGCGGAACGCGATGCGCCGCACGCACGGGTCTCATTCTGGTCAGGCGGCAAGCTACCCTTGCTCGTCGTCCGCATTTACGGTGGCTGTATCAACAGAGCCAGCTATTTGGTTTTCAAAATAAAATTCCTATATCAATAAAAAAAATACATATTAAGTAAAAATTTCAAACAAGCCACTCAAATCCTACATTTCGAAAATTATTCAACAAAATTATTCCACACCGATTCCAAAACCGCAAATAAAACCCATAAACCGAGTAATAAATTGATATCCATTGAAATATGAAATATTGATTAGCCGTGTATCGCCGGGATTAGAGTTTAATTTGTAATTACGACACGATTATATATGTAACACTCGATTCTAATAGTGATATGTCACTCATAATTAACCCTTCAAGTTACGAGTAAATTTGAAGCCATTCGAGCACTTGAATATTTAGTATATAAACTATATAATTACTATGCCTCGAGGTGACTTAGTAATTAGGAGGTAAATGTAAAATTAAGTAAGTGTAGGAAAGCCTTGCTTCGGCACGAATGAGCCGGCTCGACCAGACTGATACCACGGCCTCACAGAAAAGCGACGTGAAACAAACGCTTGCGTTGTGTTTTGTCGTGTGAGTGAGGTTATCGGAGGCCCAATCACCCCCCTCCCAGTCTCCCCAATCCCCGAATCCCCTACAATCCTTAAATTCCCAATTCCCAAAAGCTTGGTAACGCATTTGTAACGCCACTGGTGTTTCAGGTGTCCATGGGGCGCCTATTGGTTACCATCAGGATCACCTATCCGTCTAGTCGTTGACCGCCTAATCCCATAAAAATAGAAAAATCTAATGTAATATGCAAAAATGAAACATTTTATTAGCTGAACGACAGACATAAGAATTCATACTTTCGAGAGTTCACAAAAACAGTTGCCATTTTTATAATCAGAATTTAATAATTATTGATTATTAACAGCCCTGGATAAATACTAACATTCAATTACACTGACCGAACTACTAAAGCAGGCCTTACCCCAGTGTCGACCTCAAGATTAGTAACAAAGAAACGTGAGAAGAAAGATTTCGGAGTTAACAAAATACTTTTCAAACCACAACTTACTTTCAGAAACTAAGAATAAACGGATTAGAACTATTTGTAAAAGGAATTTCCTAATACGGTACGGGTTCTTGCAGACAATATCAAGATATTGGAAGCACGTAACATTGATGTGTCTAACACTAAATGTAGTGAACATTAGAACGTGGTAAAGATACAATATTGGCCAGCTGACCGCCGCCACCGCTAGCTCACTGTACCGTACCTAAATCGGTTGATTAGGTCGTGTATACATAAACTTAAAACTTTGTTTATTTGTACTTATTATATTGTTAAACACAACATTTTAATATTAAGGAAAACCTTCCCTTATATTATAAGAGAACTTACTTTATACTTAATTCTATACTTTAGGTCGTTTAAAAACTTATTTGGATGAAATTCTTCAGATATTTATTAATGTAATAGATAGTATAAACTGTTTTATCAGTTTTTTTGGACAGACTGACAACGAACTCTGTTCTCTGATCATCCTTAATGACCAATAACACGATACCCTTCACACATTCTGTTTAGTAAAAAGGCATTTTTATATATCCCAATGCACTTTAATCACAGTAAACACACTATGTGTCTCAGTGTTGTTATTTATTTTCCTGCCACTGGCCCACAGGAAGAAATTCCAGTTGGAATATGTGGGGCCTATGTACTCTGTTTTTATATTATGTATTGTCCTCTGTGTTGAATGTGTGTACATAAATAAATAAATAAATAAATGTGTACGCACCTTAACACGTGTGTGTACACAAAGTCAAACCGCGGCGCTCGGCTGTTGCTCTAGACCACATGGGGTGAAGCAAAACCGAGCCTCGATGCGCTGCGATCGACAGAATATCGAGTAAAATTGTTTGTTTTATCGAACAAACTTTTATTGTTAGGCTTCCATTCACTGTTTTCAGAGTTACTGATTTTTGAAATGTGTTCTCCAATGCGATAGGCACAATGTACTTCAACATATTTTATTAATAAAGGATGATCCTTTATCGAGTATTGACTGATCTAGACCTGCAATTTTAAAACTTACTGAGATAGAAAGTAAGTTTTATTTAACTGTCAAAAAAGTGGGATTCGACTTCTCTAAATCACCACCACCACAGATAACAGCCACCCGAATTTTGAATTCTTGTAAATATAATTAAACTTCATAAACAGTAAATTTGCAAAAAAAAAAACATTATAAAAGCTAGACCCAAGGTGTAAATTAATTAGCAGTCCCTTCGAAAAGGTCACCCAAGTGTGTTTGTTACCTTTCCAATGAAATGACTTTACAATAGAAAGGTTACGCTTTCAAACGGCTAGAGTGCCTCTTTATGGTGTTGTAATTGTTTTAGACTTGGCATTGTTTTAAGATCTTGAGTGCGGTCGGTGAACAAGAAGACTCGAGTTTGATATTAAGACTATATCCAGTGCCTGTATTGTTAAGTGTATGCTTAATACTTAATATTAATACTCACTTAACTCATTTTTAACCCTTCCAAAAATAGGGCATAAGGAAGATGTTTTAGCTCCTATTTCTTTTAGATGTCTATGTTATGTTATGTTACTAGTCTCAAAATAGCTGATGTCGGCATTTATAATAAACTTGTGACTCGCCCCGACTTTGCACGGGTGCAAAATGCATGTATGGTACATATAAATCTTCCTTAATAATCACTCTATCTATTAAAAAAACCGCATCAAAATCCGTTGCATAGTTTTAAAGATCTAAGCATACATAGGGACAGACAGTCGGCGGATAGCGACTTTGTTTTATACTATGTAGTGACTAAAACACTTTTATAGCTATGTATGCCTTTTATATGTAGAGTACATTTCTAAGTTATATTTATATAGCATTCTTGTCTTAGTATGAGACTAAATTTCAGTTTAAGTCTCCAGTGCATGTTTTAATACCAGTGGAACTATCTTACTACATCTCGGAGAAGGGAACTTTAACAGGGATCTTTATAAGTTATGTATCCTTAAAGTTTGTGAACCAGGTTAGCTGTCTAACCTCAGAGTGGCCTTAGAATGGACGAAGTAAATTATGAATTGGTTAATTTCAAAACCGAAGCAACTGATTTTATGCGTTAAGTACGCATAATATCATAGAATTAAAAAGTTAAGCCCTGGGTTCTGGTTTGATAAAACTCGCATAAAATTTAGAAAAGAACTGATAATTCAAGCTCAAAATTTGTGAATAATTTAATCGCTAGGTACAGAAAATGGTCATATCAAATAATTTGAAACAATAACATAGTTGTGGACATTTTTACCATTTTGTCTAAAAAGTGTAAAGTGTATGTTAAAGTACAGAAGGTATTATTTATTATCAGCTTATACACTAAAGTATGTCATTTCTGGGGTTCATTATCATTAAACAGCGCTGTGAACCGAAAATACTTTAAAGTCATCTGGGTGAAATGCGTTAAAAATTCTTTCATACACGCAATAACATACAAAAACCTATCAAAAAGTTCACACAGAGTAAGTTGATAGTTAATATCAGTCAAAGTTTGATAACTTGTAAAGTATTTGTTCATGACAGTTCAAGAGCATGGCGTGGAACTTGGTATGCGCACCTTTTCACAAAATGAAGGCAGTTTGCGGAAACTTTACCGACGTAAGAAGGATCTAGTATACGTGAAGTAACTGATGAACTAGTTGAAACTTACTTAATGTATTGCTTTGAGGACGTGTGCCATCGGTTTTTAATATTACTATGTGTAATCGGTTATACATTATTGGCACTATGCTACTTAATTCGAGTTGGTCTTGCGCTCCTCTCTTCTTACTCGATTGAACTACTACGTAGTACGACCTGGGCATAATGCCCTGTTTGCACTTCGCTAGTCATTTAGTCGAGTAGCGAGTATTTAGTACTTCTGTTTCGCACCTGTCTTGAAATCAAAGCGATAAATAACTATTATATACTCGCTACTCGACCAAATTACTAGCGTAGTGCGAACAGGGCATAAGGAAGAGTACCAAATCTGTAGATCTACACTACTCATTTCTTTTTTAATAGTTTATTTTTAAATGCCAATAGGAAAGAAGCATGTGTCCATTTAGTCGAATTTGCTATTCTGGATCTCATAGTTATAATTGTAAGTTAGAGTTTAAACTAGAAACTCTATTGGCTAATTGCGATAAACTGCGCTTTGGCCAAGTAATACAGCGACTTAGAAACATAGTTCAAGTGACAACTATATCTCTATTCCAGTCTACTCCCTTATTAAGCCCAAATATGATGAAGCACTTCCTTTTAAACATCAAGAATGCACCTTTATCGAGTATCATAATCTTATGATACTAAAGATTATTTTTATG